ATTTCTCACCATTCCTCTCCCCGCCGCGCCCGCGCGTCCCCGCCCCCGCTCCTTGTGACACGCCCCCACGCGCGCGCCGCACACATACACACACTCACACACACTCACATACACTCACACACACGACGCACACGCACCCCCGCCGCCATGCCGCTCGCCGCCGCAGAGTCGGACGAGGCCACCTTCCGCCACGGCACCCCGGTCCGCATGGCGGGCTGGCTCAGCGTCAAGCACGGCCGCCTCTCGCGCAAGCAGCCGCGCTACGCAAAGCTCTACGGGGAGGTCCTCTCGTTCCTCGTCTCGGAGGAGGCCCTCCCCGAGGAGGAGCTCAACGTCGTCGGCGCCATCGTCGAGTTCAGCGACCGCGACTCCAAGAAGACCTTCCGCGTCATCGTCGGCAGACGCACCTTTATTATCTTTTGCGGCTCGTTCGAGGAGATGCAGAGCTGGGCACAGAGCTTGCTCTTCGCCAGCCAGAGATGCTTCGAGCGCTACTACACACAAGGCCCTATTCTTGCTGATGGCACTTACTCGCGCGTCTTCTACGCAAAGGATGTCGATGACCCTTCAAAGGTCTTCGCCGTTAAGATTATCAAGAAGCGCAGTCATGATATACAGGCCTTGGAGTGGGTCCGTCGCGAGCGTCATGTCAATTCAATGCTCAACCACCCCGGCATTGTTCAGGCCGTCGACATGTTCTCCACCGTTGAGAAGGATCATCTCGTTTTTGAGCTTATGACCGGCGGAACCTTGGCTGACTTGCTCCGCAAGCACAACCGTCTGCCCGAGTCCTACGCCCGTGTCGTCATGAGAGAGTTGATCACCGCCCTGCATTACATCCACAGCAAGAACATCGTCCATCGCGACGTGCGCCCGGAGAATATCTTCTGCTCCGCCTCCAAGTTCCCCATGTCCATCGCCCTTGGCGACTTCGGCTACGCCAATTTTGTCTCGGAGAAGCGCGTCAATCACGATGTCCTCACAACCATGATCGGCGTCCCGCCTTACATCTGCGTCGATATTTGCCGCCGCATCAAGTATGGCCCGCTCGTTGATATGTGGTCCGCCGGCGTCGTCTTGTACGAGATACTCTCCGGCGAGAGGCCGTTCGAAGGCCGATCGGATAGGGAGACAGTCGAGAACATCAAAATTGGCACTATCCACTTCACAACCCCTATCTGGTCCAAGATCTCCCCAGCCGCAAAAGGTCTTATCAAGCAGCTCATGCAAACGGATCCCCACAAACGAATCAGCGCTCTCGCCGCGCTTCAACATACCTGGTTTTGTGAAAAAGCCTGCTTGTCACGCCCGACCTCGGTCAATACCTTGTTCCCTTCGTCCCCCGCTTCGAACGGCGTCATGTATGGCGACCGCGACTCCCCCAGCAACACAAGCACGGACAGTCGCCGCCACCCGCACATCTCGGGCTCGATATCCAACTTTAGCCGCATCCCTTCCTCCTCCTCATCGCAATCGCCTGTTGAGAGCACCACGCAAGACTCGAGCGAGCGCCAGACATCGCTACTGGGACTGCACCAGCCCTCCTTGCGCTCCATGCATCACGTGTCGAGCACTTCCAGCCTCGGTCCACAACCACGCCTCAAGGTGACTCCGTCAGTGAGAGCGATTGCAGAGAGGGGCTTACAGCGAGTCACAAGTGACAACCCGGCGAGGATGAAGCGGTTGCTCAACTCGTCTGTCGTGCAGAAACAGCTTTCCGTCGCTCTGCCGTATCGAAGAATTCTGATCGTGACGGCCAGAGCATTTGTTGCCGTGTTCCGCCTTAAAGCCTTGCGTAGCGGCCACAGCGCAACCAGACAGCTGTCGCTGATGGGGCAGGCGGACGTCGACGACGTGAATGCGCTGATCGACCGGCGGACGGCAGCGATGAAGAAAGCAAATGAGGAAAACCAGGACGGGGTGGTGGACCGTGCCAGTGGCAGGCCATTACAGGGCTCAAATCACAACCAGCGACGCGGGCATGTGCGACATAAGTCTCGAGATATGGCATCACACATAATGGGACGTCTCTCTTTGGATAGGAAAGCCCAGGATAGCGCCGGATAAGATGTGCAACTGTAGATGGTGGAAGACATTTTGTCTCTCTCAAGATAGCAACTAACTTTTTTGGTAACTGGATCGCGCGAGGATTATGTTAATAGGATGATTGCCAAACGTCTTCAACTGCGCAAGCAGAAACTAACGATTGCTTCCTACGGCACAATCGTTGTAATTAAAGAAAAGTATGTATTTGCTCCAAGATATCATTCGTGTCGAGGCGCGAGGCGCAACAGATTAAGAGTGGGAGGAGATAAAAAAAGTACCGTTGTACGGTGCGGCCCAGAAACTCAGCAACCCGCGTGGTGTTTGTTCAGAGGTGATATCGTCAGAAATACAATGAGAGGGCCATTGGAAGTGATAAGTGATGGATGAGAGATGGACAGTGAATGCCACCTAGAGTGATGTTACAGTATGCCTTATCGCAGAGCTGACAGTTGGCATAAAAATAACGTCTGGCAATTATCGGTTGATACTATGCTCTGCATTGATGAGGTAAAATTTAACGGCTCATAGACTTAACGGCTCATGCATCCACAATATCCGCACCTCAGGTGGAGCTCAACCGTACACGTAAAAAGCTTGGACGAGCTCTTCTTTCCTGGTGCCTTTTTTTTTTTTTTTTTTCATTTGTGCGCGATATATGGCGCAATGGTATTGGTGGGTGTGCCATATTCAAAAGGGACATATTGAACGCGGACTCTGGTGTCGAACGATCGTAATGCAATCTTCTTTAGTCTCTCCTGTGACTGTACGTTGATCGAGGGACTTCGCGTCCCTGTACTTCGCTCGTGTGTTCTTTTCCGAATTCGAGCTCGAGGAAAGATACAGTAGCCCTGCCTGCATATTACAGTATCCCATCGCTTTCTGCGCCGACCTGCAGCACACCCACACTGGATCCGAGAGATGCCTCATCAACTGCACAAAGAAATGAGCAACCAATGAGCAGGGATACTATCGGCTAAGCTCCACGTTCCGGCAACAACGGTGATCTGCGCAGCACAGGGCAAGCTGTAGTAGATGCTCTACGTGTACTGCATCTCGCGGGCCCGCGGACTTGACAGCATGACTGCTGAGCGACCGGCTAAATTAATCCTTTTTTGTATGTTTTGCATCGCCCTTTGCATCAAATTGTTTGACGCCTTTGTCCCAAAATACGCCGTTTCCAATTCACGACAAACAAACAGCTGCTGTACAGCACACGCTTGTCACTCTTCGCAGCGACACGTCAAGCCATCCATCTGATTGAATATGAATTCATCAACTAACGGCGTTAGTCTAACGCGCATTACTTCTGCTCTAAACTTAGCTTTCTTTAGAGTTTATGCCCCCTACCCGAATCCAGTCCTCAATAGCCAACTTTCATTCATCCCGCCTCTTTGCCAGCTAGCTAGCCTACGCTTGTAATATAACTTCACACAAAACTTTCCCCACCCTATCCCCCCTGTTCGACAAAGGGGGTTCCTTTCTCTGTGCAATTACATACGGTTACAGTCGTGTACGCCCCAACGTACCCAAGGGTACTGTACTTCTCATTCCAGCCCTCTTGGAGCTTGCAGTAACGTTTTTCCACTCGCTCTGCTGTGCTCCCCCCATCCACTTCCAGTCCTCCCTTGCCCATAAGTTAGACTCTTTTTTTCTACTTGTACACTACGCTGTCGAGGAGGGCCCTGCACCACCATGTTGCTCTATTTCTCCTACTTGATATGGATATACCCCCGCCTCTGCATCAAACCCTTGCGTTTCTAACATGTGAAACCCCTGCCCCTGGCCCACAGACCCTACCGTATCCGAAACGGTCCCACCAGCACCACCGCTTCCATCGAACAGGGATCCTCCAAAAATGTTCAAGCCCTGTGGGTAGAACTGATCCTGTCTAAATTCTCCAAAACTTTGAGGCATGGTATCCCCACTATCCGAGCTGTGCGGAAATGGGTACGTCGTCGGCCCCAATGGCATTCGTTCTCCAAATCCTTGCCGCACCCCGCCCATGAACGTTGGGTACTGAGGAGCTTGATGCGTCTGCGCATCCACTGCCCTGTATTCCGTCGAATCTGCACGCCCCATCTGTCGCATACTTGGGTACTGTGCAACATTCGGATATGCCATCCCTGGGTTTGCTCCCGGAAACGCCATTCCTCTCTGAAAGATGCCATATGGTGGCGTTTGAGACATCCTGGTTGGAGATGTCGCCACGGGCGACCCGGGAACCATCGGCGGCAGACGGCTGCCTCCTGATAAAGACTGATTCCCTAACTCCGTCGTAAGAGAATCTATCGCTGGTTGATCCGTCGGATCTTCCCCTTCTCGCGCCCCTGGCCGATTATCTCTGTCATCCCTTGCGGTATAGTCCTCGGAGGACGGGTTAATCTTCTGTATGATCAGTCGTCGTGCTGTCTCCACAAATACCTCTGGGCCAGTTATTGTCACCGGCCGAGGATGGTCTTCTCTTGATCTGTCCATTCTCTTGGACACCACAATGCGCGCTCCAGATATTTGCTGTAATGATCGAATTGTGGATCCATTCTTCCCGATAATTACGCCAACCTTTGCGTGCGGAATTTGCATCTCAAAAGATATCGATGCGCTCGGATAGTCTGTCGCAGGCCGTGGCACCACTCGTCCTTCTCCGGTGAAAGGAGCCGCAGAAGTCTCCACGGTTCGAGATCCGTCGTCGTCAGGAGATTCCGGAGAAGCCTGCTCTTGTTCGGTACGATTCCAACCTGAAGGCATGTCCTCGCCCGTGTCTCCCTCCTCTGGGACATTATTTCTCGCACTCAGGGCTTCGCTTCTTGCAAGAGAAGTTGACCCTTCAGCGCTTTGATCTCTGCCCGACGCCGCAAGTTCCGGAAATGTGTCTGCATCTGTGTAATCAAGCGGTTTTGCCGCCTGAGCAGAATCAACCGGTTGCCCCTCCAACTCAATTTGCCCATAATCTGCACCCCGCGCACTTTCCTCCCCACTTTCCTCTTTCGTGCTTTCGCTTTGTTCTGGATTGCCTTCATCTACCGGTCCCCCCTGCCGACGTTCGAGATGAGGACTTTGACTACTGCTGCCTTCTTGTTGCTCCGTGCCAGAACGCGGCTCTACTCCGTCACGGTATACTCTGGTGAGTCCTTCGTTGATGACATCATTCACAAGTGATTGCGCTAGATCAAGGGACGCTGGCGTCCCAGTGATATAAATTACTCTCTCGGTGGCACCATGTCTCGCATCTTCATCCGGGGTAACCTTGATGTGGGCACCGGAGCGCTGCTGTAAATCTCGAATCGTCTCCCCATTCCGTCCAATAACGATACCCACGCAAGAGGAAGGTACGGATACTGCTTTAGTAACCATCGGTGGCATCATGGCGCTTTGATCATACGGCATTTGCATCGGGTGCAATGGATATGATAGTTGTGGGTTCCATGGCACAGGGCCAGATGGAGAAAACATTGGGGCCATGTGAGGGGGCACTTGTGCCCCTTGCATGACGGCTCCCGTCGCTATTTGCTGCGGCGGTAGTTGAGGGTGTTGTGATCGAGTTGTTTGGTGTTGTTGTTGCTGCGATGGGTCGTGGTGTTGGAGCTGGGCCTGTATTTGCCGGTGGTGATGCTGTACATGTTGTTGTTGAAGTTGGTGAAGGTGTTGTTGCTGTTGTTGTTGTTGTTGTTGCTGCTGCTGTTGCTGCTGTTGCTGCTGCTGCTGCTGCCGTTGTCTTTGATGTTGGTCGTGCTGCGCTTGGGTGGGCGGCGGGCCTGGTGGTTGCGGCTGTCGCGACGGACTCTGCGGAATCATCCCCTGCGGCGCGACGACTCCATGTGGCAGGGGCTGGGCTGGATGCTGCATTTGCATGGGATGCATCCAACCCCCTTGAGACCCGTAGCGAAAATCCGGGACCTGTCCGCGCACATCAAAAGGCATTAGGTACCAGTGGGGGACGATACCCGCGGGGAGCTGCGGGGGCACGTGGCGCTGATGCATTCCCCATTGCGGGGGATCATGGACTGGCGGGTAATCTGCGTTCCTATTCCGCATGCTTGCACGGTCGAGGACGTTTTGTATTAGTTGTTTTGCGTGGTTCTTTTCGCGCTCACCTCCCGAAATTGTTAGAAGCTTTGCGCCGTGGCCGTCCATTTTATGATTATGGACTTTCCATGGTAGAGCCGGAACGCTCCTGCATTTCGCTGATAACCTGGCCGCCCTGGCCGATGATCATGCCGACGCAGCCCTTCGGAATCCACATCTCCAGCGGGGCGCTAATTTCGTCGTCGGTATCATCTCTATCCGAGACGGGACCCGCGGAGGCATCGCGCACGCGTGCGTTTGGCTTGCCGTGCAGCACAGCGGCGACCTTTTCCTTGACGAGGGCCTTTGCAATTTCGACAGCCTCGCGGTCGCCCTCGATGTGAAAGACGCGGACGGGGGCCTGGCGGTTGGTGTCGTCCCTGTCGACGTAGACGTAGGCGCCGGACTTGGTGGTCATGTTGCGCACGGTCTCGCCGCCCTTGCCGATGATGAAGCCCACGGCCTCGGCGGGCACGGACAGCGAGCGGCGGCACAGGGACGGCGGGGATCGTGATGACGGGCCCGCGCGAGCGGACGACGTGGCGGCGGCTGCAGCGGCGGCGGCGGTGGCGGCGGCGGCGGCAGCAGCAGCGGCAGAGGAGGAGGAGGAGGAGGAAAGAAGGGAAGGGGTGGTTTGCGCTGTGGAGGGGGACGGGAGGGAGGGGGTTCGGTCCGCACGTGCAGTGGGCGTGGCGGAGACGCGAGGACGCGCGGGTGTGGTAGGCGACACAGCAGCCTTGTCGGACTCGTCGGTATCGCCGGGGTCCGGAGGCGTTGTTGGGCGTGCGCGTTGTGGCCCC